TGGCACCTCCTACACCTCACTTCAGGCCTTAACAGGAGAAATGCCACTAAGTCTACGCAGGGAACAGCTAAGCTTAAATTTCTGGGCCGCGTCCCAATCAAACCCTCTCATCCAAAACTTAATAAACCAAAACATCAGCCCCAAAAACCAAGCTCTAGCTCGTAAACACCCCTTACTTACCCCAATATCCCAAAGAATAACAAACTACCTAAATGAACACCAAATTAAAAATCTTAATTTAATCTTATAGCTAAAACTACCACACTAGCATACATACACGAAAATTGGCCAAATTGGTGTCACATTTACACGGACGGATCCTCAGATCCGACCTCAAAACACACAGGTTTCGGAGTCCATACCACACAACCAACTAAAACCACACAATCCTTCCGACTCCCAAACAACCAATCAATATTCACGGCAGAACTAATGGGCATGGCCTCAGCCCTCCATAATCAAGAATCCAAAAAACACAAAAAAATCCTAATACTTACCGAATCCCTAAGTGGACTGCAAGCCCTCCAAAACAAAAATACCAAAAACCGACCTAAATTAATAAATCAAATACTTAAAAGCTCCAACGACCTAACTAAGGCAGGCAAACAAATAACCTTCTTGTGGATACCCGCCCACGTAGGAATATACGGTAACGAAAAAGCCGATAAAGCAGCTAAACTATCCCTCAAAATCCCAGAAATAAGCTTAAACTTACCCATCTCAAAATCAGAAATTAAAAGTGTAAACAAGCAAAAAATCACAAAAAATGGCATAACCTATATCTAAACTCAAATAGCCAAATCAAAAAAGTGCTCAGCAAACCACTAACCAAACCCAAAATTCTCCATCCATCGAAAAAAATCGACAGAGTAATCACTAAACTCCAAACAGGACACACCAACCTAAATAACCACCTAAAAAATTAAAAAAAACACACTACAGGTAACTGCCCACACTGCAAACAACCAGAAACCCCAGAACACACGCTCATTCACTGCACACACTACCTAACACATCGAACCGCATTACAAACCACCCTCAATCTAAACAAGGCTCTAACTCTAGAAGCAATACTAAACCCACAAAATAAACTAGAAAACTTCAAGGCCTTAGGCGTATTCTTAATCAAAACGGAACTAATAAAACGCATCTAAAAACACAATAACCTACCAAATCAAAATCACATAAACAAACAAACATCCACCATACCCAGCTCCCTTAGTTCTCCTCCCCAATCCCATCGGCATCTATTCCAAATCTCAAAATTCCCAAATTCTATATAAGCAACCCCTAAAACCCCCCTCTTGGGTTGCACAGACCACTTTCGCCCCTTTCGGAAACATTAAATGGCCTGGCCGGGCCCGTGTGCGAAATACGCATCAGTCGGAAAGCGCACGTTAAATCTCCAAAGTAAGTAAGTAAGTAAGTAAGTAAGTAATCTATAAGACTATGTAGACATATCTTTTGTCTGGGAGATGGGATCTTGATACCTTAGGCTAGCATTTATCTAAAAGCTTCAAATCTATTAAACTATGTAGACGTAACTCTTGTCTTATTGAATAGTATGTCTAGATGCGCTCCCATTACCTTAGGCTAGCATCTATCTAAAAAGCTATAACTGAAACTACTGATATTTTATATATACATTTTACCTGATGATAAATATTACTTGCTTAACTATAATTATATGAAATGATTTATAAATATTACACCATGATAACTCATAAAAGTACTTGATGTGGATCTAATTATTATAGGATAACTTAGTATAAATGTTATACCATTAACTATAATTATATGAAATGATGTATAAATATTACACCATGATAACTCATAAAAGCACTTGATGTGGATCTAATTATTATAGGATAACTTAGTATAAATGTTATACCATGATAGTTCTGTCAAAGTTCGCGAAAGGTCGTTCTGACGTGACCTGTAATGGGATATCCTCAGCAGTAGCAATCTTGTGTCCGATTTTAATAAGAATGAGGTAATCTAGGTATGTGATTAATCCTGTTTTGTTTATTTAATGCAGTAATTGTTCATTGTTAAGCCAGTTTATCTCTGCAGACGTTGAAATATGCAGCTATTTGCCGACTAGTCTCGCATCAATACACAGGGCTGTGTACTTGAGGGCAGATTACCACGGAGTACGCTGATCACTGTGTCGGATTAACTAGGCTGATAAATTAGTGGCTTCAGCCATTTGTTGCAAATTTGGTGTGTCGGAGTCAGAGTGTGAGACTGAAAACAAACAACTATGTATTCCACATCACTGTTTATTAAGCAACACTTGTACCAAGGATATAAACAATGTCATTCAAACACTAATTGCATCCTGTGAATTGTCACTGCTGGGGTCAAGACAAGAGTTCTACTCACTTATGTCATCACTGATCACACCTGCAAATCCAGACAGATGCCAGGCATCAAAATGTAAATCAAATATTGAAAAGAATATCTCAAAACAAACAAAAACTGTTTTGATATTGGACATGTATTTGTTATTATTTATGAGGATATTTCTCTTCCTCTGATCTTGGATCATACAACAACAGATGCGGCAAAAGCTGCTTTGTATGGCATTATCAGGATAATCGCATAAGGTTCTGTCATCAAAGTACTCAATACAATTCCAAGACCAAGATAATTCCTTCTACAAATGTGTTTTTGGTGACGAAATGATGTTTTAGGCCGACTGCTTGGATGATGAGATTACAGAACTTTATGAAGGCATATCTTTTGCATACAAATGAAATGTTTATGAAAATGTTAGGGACATGTTCGATAGTGAAAAGACTGGGAACAGGCAATTCCGTCATTGAAACAACTGACAATTGTTTTAAGAAACTTTATTCATGACAACATGCTTTTTACAAACCTTTTTGTGATCGATATGCATTGCCATCTTCATGAACGACCACCGTGAGGATTTGGCAGGAGGGGTTTCGAAAGTCCATCAGAAAACAATGTCCTGATATCACTGACATCACAGCACTGGCACTTGATCATATCTTATCAAACTTGATGAAATTCATTTCTGAACACACACAATTAAGAAAATCAGATATGAACCACTGTTTCTGGGCCACAATTGTCTCATTGCTTTCACACGCTGGCTTTGAAAGCGTGAAATCTTAAAATTGACAGGTCAAATCAGATTTGTCGCGTCAAAAGAGCCTGCTCGTCTGCAGCCTAAAAAGCATCTGTTCAGTCATACTCCAGTTCCACTGGTAATCAATCACAACATACATCAGGCTCATTCCCATTATATCTACAGGCTAATGTTGAACCACATCCTAAATCAGGGTTGTCATCTTGCTTCATGTAACTTGTCTGAGGCACAGAAAATGTAAACAACAACATTGGCAGCCATTGACAGTTGTGAGGTGTGAGTAACCGTGATGTAGGTCAAGTTCTGCCACATCTATGTTCAGGTAGGAGAGGCATTTATTTTGATTTTTTTATTATTTACTGGGGGTAATTAATAACTAACTAATAAGTCTTAAACATGTAAAATAAATAGTAGAATGTTAATTCATAAAGTTTGTTCGAGAAATTCGTTAAGCATTTTTATAACTATTTCTACAACCTATCACCCCTACAATGGGAAATGGCATTTTCGATTTCCAAGAAATGACTTGGTGAGTCCAAACAGTGCAGAGCAGGTTGCAATGAAATTAAAACATCTATCTTTGGACTAAGTTTAGAGGGTTATTTGTCAACTTATTTAATTATTTCTTATTTATACATTTGAAACCTTGTGCTAAAGTGTGCTCGGTTCAAAATTAAAATAAGAGGTCTCTACTCTACAGTGGGACTACATCGAATTTGAAAACACAGTAGGTTTATCTCCTAAATGGTTATTCATTAATCTGTTTATATGCAATTACAATGTTAATACTACACTCAAAAGGAGTTCAGTTAAATTTACATTTCATCTTCTAACACTTGTCTAATGGAAAGATATACAACACTATTTACATCAGAAACTGGCAAATCTAATGTTTGAACAAACAGGAAATTATCAAAGGTTCCCATTCTAAACGATTCAAGAGACTAGGGTCATTGGCGACATTTCAGAATGATCACTGGTTGATTTGCTACATTACAGATACCCATGATTACTAACAAGTATTTGTCACAAAGTGACGAAATGTCCCCCGCCTGTATATACACCATAGTACCAAATATGAAGACAATCCAGTGATTAGTTCTTGAGATATTGCGGCAACACCGTTTTCCATTTGCCTGCTGTGACCTTGAAAATGGGGTCAAGGTCACCAAAACCGACTGGTGTCTGCGGAGTCTGTATATACACCATAGTTCCAAATATGAAAACAATCCAGTGTTTAGTTCTTGAGATATCGCGGCAACACCGTTTTCTAACTCCAAAAGCAGATTTGCCCGCTGTGACCTTGAAAATGGGATCAAGGTCACCAAAACCGACTGGTGTCTGCGGAGTCTGTATATACACCATAGTTCCAAATATGAAGACAATCCAGCGATTAGTTCTTGAGATATCGCGGCAACACCGTTTTCCAACTCCAAAAGCAGATTTGCCTGCTGTGACCTTGAAATTGGGGTCAAGGTCACCAAAACCGACTGGTGTCTGCGGAATTTGTATATACACCATAGTTCCAAATATGAAGACAATCCAGTGTTTAGTTCTTGAGATATCGCGGCAACAAACAGGTGGGACGTACGGACGGACGGACGGACGTACGGACGGTCGTGAATACTATATCCCCCGCTTCGCGCTTTCGCGCGGCGGGGGACAATAATCTTTAACTTCTTCTCCTACTGAATAGTTCCTGTATGTTATTGGATTTCCAGTCTAAGTGATCGAATCGAAACTCCACATTGTTCAATGCTATAAAATACCTGATGCCTAGCACACAATACACATGATGACAGGAATCATGGACACAAGTCAACCAAAAAAATATATTCTCATTCAATTTAAGAATTGGAATAGATTAAGAAATATGTTTAACCTTAATAGACTTGGCCCTCTGCATGAGCTCCTTCTCCAGATCATGGTAGGTCATGCCCCTGAAAGCAACAGGTGTCTGGTTAGAACCCCTGTTGCATGGTGCTGTGGGCCTTGTCACAAATCCATCAGGGTTGTTCTGGTAAAATTTGATAAGTTCTATAGGTCCTTGGAATCTCCGTCCTTCAGGTATCATGAACGTTCCATCAACCTGTTTCTCAATTATGTAGTGGTGCACCCTGAAACAAAGGCCAATGACATGTCATACAAATATGTCATCTCATGAAAACATTAATAGTTAGAAAAAGTTTTAGCATTTTAATATACACCCAATGTTGCAATTTAATAAGATAAGATGAGATAATATTCATATCAATATGATCTATTTCATGGAGTGTGCATCTATTATTATTTGTTGTTTAACACTGCACTCAGCAATATTCCAGGTATATGAGAGCAGCCTGTAAATGTTCCAGCCTGGACCAGACAACTAGTGATTGAGATCATCAGCTTCGATACACACAATTGGGACACGGTGACATGCATCAACCAAGTAAGCTAGCCTGAAAAAAACCTCATCTCTTACAAGCATGGGTTGTTGATGACAACTTCTCGGTATCCCTTGACCCCGTACCCCAAGTCTCGGTAATAAAAGTCTCCGTGAAGCTAATCAATGATCCTATATATGAAGCTAGTCCATGGTCTTATACATGAAGCTAGTCCATGGTCCTATACATGAAACTAATCCATGGTCCTATACATGAAGCTAATCCATGGTCCTATACATGAAGCTAGTCCATGGTCCTATACATGAAGCTAATCCATGGACCTATACATGAAGCAAGTCTATGGACCTATACATGAAACTAATCCATGGTCCTATACATGAAGCTAATCCATGGACCTATACATGAAGCAAGTCTATGGTCCTATACATGAAGCTAGTCCATGGTCCTATACATGAAGCTAATCCATGGACCTATACATGAAGCTAGTCTATGGTCCTATACATGAAGCTAGTCCATGGTCCTATACATGAAGCTAGTGTATGGTCCTTTACATAAAGCTAGTCCATAGTCCTATACATGAAGCTAGTCCATGGTCCTATACATGAAGCTAATCCATGGTCCTATACATGAAGCTAATCCATGGTCCTATACATGAAGCTAGTCTATGGTCCTATACATGAAGCTAGTCCATGGTCCTATACATGAAGCTAGTCCATAGTCCTATACATGAAGCTAGTCCATAGTCCTATACATGAAGCTAGTCCATAGTCCTATACATGAAGCTAGTCCATGGTCTTATACATGAAGCTAGTCCATGGTCTTATACATGAAGCTAGTCCATAGTCCTATACATGAAGCTAGTCCTATACATGAAGCTAGTGTATGGTCCTATACATGAAGTTAATCAATGGTCCTAAACATGAAGCTAATCCATGGACCTATACATGATGCAAGTCTATGGTCCTATACATGAAATTAATCCATGGTCCTATACATGAAGCTAATCCATGGACCTATACATGAAGCAAGTCTATGGTCCTATACATGAAGCTAGTCCATGGTCCTATACATGAAGCTAATCCATGGACCTATACATGAAGCTAGTCTATGGTCCTATACATGAAGCTAGTCCATGGTCCTATACATGAAGCTAGTGTATGGTCCTTTACATAAAGCTAGTCCATAGTCCTATACATGAAGCTAGTCCATGGTCCTATACATGAAGCTAATCCATGGTCCTATACATGAAGCTAGTGTATAATCCTTTCCATAAAGCTAGTCCATAGTCCTATACATGAAGCTAGTGTATGGTCCTTTACATGAAGCTAGTCCATAGTCCTATACATGAAGCTAGTGTATGGTCCTTTCCATAAAGCTAGTCCATAGTCCTATACATGAAGCTAGTGTATGGTCCTATACATGAAGCTAGTCCATAGTCCTATACATGAAGCTAGTGTATGGTCCTTTCCATAAAGCTAGTCCATAGTCCTATACATGAAGCTAGTGTATGGTCATTTACAGGAAGCTAGTCCATAGTCCTATACATGAAGCTAGTCCATAGTCCTATACATGAAGCTAGTGTATGGTCCTTTACATAAAGCTAGTCCATAGTCCTATACATGAAGCTAGTCCATAGTCCTATACATGAAGCTAGTCCATGGTCTTATACATGAAGCTAGTCCATAGTCCTATACATGAAGCTAGTCCATAGTCCTATACATGAAGCTAGTCCATGGTCTTATACATGAAGCTAGTCTATGGTCCTATACATTAAAGCTAGTCCATAGTCCTATACATGAAGCTAATCCATGGTCCTATACATGAAGCTAGTCCATAGTCCTATACATGAAGCTAGTCCATGGTCTTATACATGAAGCTAGTCCATAGTCCTATACATGAAGCTAGTCCATGGTCTTATACATGAAGCTAGTCCATAGTCCTATACATGAAGCTAGTCCTATACATGAAGCTAGTCCATGGTCTTATACATGAAGCTAGTCTATGGTCCTATACATTAAAGCTAGTCCATGGTCCTATAGATGAAGCTAATCCATGGTCCTATACATGAAGCTAGTCCATGGTCCTATACATGAAGCTAGTGTATGGTCCTATACATGAAGCTAGTCCATAGTCCTATACATGAAGCTAGTCCATAGTCCTATACATGAAGCTAGTCTATAGTCCTATACATGAAGCTAGTCCATGGTCTTATACATAAAGCTAGTCCATAGTCCTATACATGAAGCTAGTCCATAGTCCTATACATGAAGCTAGTCCATAGTCCTATACATGAAGCTAGTCCATGGTCTTATACATAAAGCTAGTCCATAGTCCTATACATGAAGCTAGTCCATAGTCCTATACATGAAGCTAGTCCATAGTCCTATACATGAAGCTAATCCATGGACCTATACATGAAGCTAGTCTATGGTCCTATACGTGAAGTTAATCAGTGGTCCTATACATGAAGCTAGTCCATAGTCCTATACATGAAACTAATCCGTGGTCCTATACATGAAGCTAATCCATGGACCTATACATGAAGCTAGTCCATAGTCCTATACATGAAGCTAGTCCAAAGTCCTATACATGAAGCTAGTCCATAGTCCTATACATGAAGCTAATCCATGGACCTATACATCAAGCTAGTCCATAGTCCTATACATGAAACTAGTCCATAGTCCTATACATGAAGCTAGTTCATAGTCCTATACATGAAGCTAGTCCATAGTCCTATACATGAAGCTAGTCCATAGTCCTATACATGAAACTAATCCATGGTCCTATACGTGAAGCTAATCCATGGACCTATAAATGAAGCTAGTTCATAGTCCTATACATGAAGCTAGTGTATGGTCCTATACATGAAGTTAATCAATGGTCCTAAACATGAAGCTAATCCATGGACCTATACATGAAGCTAGTCTATGGTCCTATACATAAAGCTAGTCCATGGTCCTATACATGAAGCTAGTCCATGGTCCTATACATGAAACTAAACCATGGTCCTATACATGAAGCTAGTCCATAGTCCTATACATGAAACTTGTCCATAGTCCTATACATGAATCTAGTCCATGGTCCTATACATGAAGCTAGTCCATAGTCCTATACATGAAACTAATCCATGGTCCTATACATGAAGCTAGTCCATAGTCCTATACATGAAGCTAGTCCATAGTCCTATACATGAAACTAGTCCATGGTCTTATACATGAAGCTAGTCCATAGCCCTATACATGAAGCTAGTCCATAGTCCTATACATGAAGCTAGTCCATGGTCTTATACATGAAGCTAGTCCATAGTCCTATACATGAAGCTAGTCCATAGTCCTATACATGAAACTAATCCATGGTCCTATACATGAAGCTAGTCCATAGTCCTATACATGAAGCTAGTCCATAGTCCTATACATGAAACTAGTCCATGGTCTTATACATGAAGCTAGTCCATGGTCCTATACATGAAGCTAGTCCATGGTCCTATACATGAAGCTAGTCCATGGTCCTATACATAAAGCTAGTCCATGGTCCTATACATGAAGCTAATCCATGGTCTTATACATGAAGCTAGTCTATGGCCCTATACGTGAAGCTAGTCCATAGTCCTATACATGAATCTTGTCCATGGTCCTATACATGAAGCTAGTCCATAGTCCTATACATGAAACTAGTCCATAGTCCTATACATGAAGCTAGTGTATGGTCCTTTACATAAAGCTAGTCCATAGTCCTATACATGAAGCTAGTCCATAGTCCTATACATGAAGCTAGTCCATGGTCTTATACATGAAGCTAGTCCATAGTCCTATACATGAAGCTAGTCCATAGTCCTATACATGAAGCTAGTCCATAGTCCTATACATGAAGCTAGTCCATAGTCCTATACATGAAGCTAGTCCATAGTCCTATACATGAAACTAGTCCATGGTCTTATACATGAAGCTAGTCCATAGCCCTATACATGAAGCTAGTCCATAGTCCTATACATGAAGCTAGTCCATGGTCTTATACATGAAGCTAGTCCATAGTCCTATACATGAAGCTAGTCCATAGTCCTATACATGAAACTAATCCATGGTCCTATACATGAAGCTAGTCCATAGTCCTATACATGAAGCTAGTCCATAGTCCTATACATGAAACTAGTCCATGGTCTTATACATGAAGCTAGTCCATGGTCCTATACATGAAGCTAGTCCATGGTCCTATACATGAAGCTAGTCCATGGTCCTATACATAAAGCTAGTCCATGGTCCTATACATGAAGCTAATCCATGGTCTTATACATGAAGCTAGTCTATGGCCCTATACGTGAAGCTAGTCCATAGTCCTATACATGAATCTTGTCCATGGTCCTATACATGAAGCTAGTCCATAGTCCTATACATGAAACTAGTCCATAGTCCTATACATGAAGCTAGTGTATGGTCCTTTACATAAAGCTAGTCCATAGTCCTATACATGAAGCTAGTCCATAGTCCTATACATGAAGCTAGTCCATGGTCTTATACATGAAGCTAGTCCATAGTCCTATACATGAAGCTAGTCCATGGTCTTATACATGAAGCTAGTCCATAGTCCTATACATGAAGCTAGTCCATAGTCCTATACATGAAGCTAGTCCATGGTCTTATACATGAAGCTAGTCCATAGTCCTATACATGAAGCTAGTCCATGGTCTTATACATGAAGCTAGTCCATAGTCCTATACATGAAGCTAGTCCATAGTCCTATACATGAAGCTAGTCCATGGTCTTATACATGAAGCTAGTCCATAGTCCTATACATGAAGCTAGTCCATAGTCCTATACATGAAGCTAGTCCATGGTCTTATACATGAAGCTAGTCTATGGTCCTATACATGAAGCTAGTCCATGGTCCTATACATGAAGCTAGTCCATGGTCCTATACATGAAGCTAGTGTATGGTCCTATACATGAAGCTAGTCCATAGTCCTATACATGAAGCTAGTCCATGGTCCTATACATGAAGCTAGTCCATAGTCTTATACATGAAGCTAGTCCATAGTCCTATACATGAAGCTTGTCCATAGTCCTATACATGAAGCTAGTCCATAGTCCTATACATGAAGCTAGTCCATGGTCTTATACATGAAACTAGTCCATAGTCCTATACATGAAGCTAGTCCATAGTCCTATACATGAAGCTAGTCCATAGTCCTATACATGAAGCTAATCAATGGACCTATACATGAAGCTAGTCTATGGTCCTATACGTGAAGTTAATCAATGGTCCTATACATGAAGCTAGTCCATAGTCCTATACATGAAACTAATCCATGGTCCTATACATGAAGCTAATCCATGGACCTATACATGAAGCTAGTCCATAGTCCTATACATGAAGCTAGTCCATAGTCCTATACATGAAGCTAGTCCATAGTCCTATACATGAAGCTAGTCCATAGTCCTATACATGAAGCTAATCCATGGACCTATACATGAAGCTAGTCCATAGTCCTATACATGAAGCTAGTGTATGGTCCTATACATGAAGTTAATCAATGGTCCTATACATGAAACTAATCCATGGACCTATACATGAAGATAGTCTATGGTCCTATACATAAAGCTAGTCCATGGTCCTATACATGAAGCTAGTCCATGGTCCTATACATGAAACTTATCCATGGTCCTATACATGAAGCTTGTCCATAGTCCTATACATGAAACTAGTCCATAGTCCTATACATGAATCTAGTCCATGGTCCTATACATGAAGCTAGTCCATGGTCCTATACATGCAACTAATCCATGGTCCTATACATGAAGCTAGTCCATAGTCCTATACATGAAGCTAGTCCATGGTCTTATACATGAAGCTAGTCCATAGTCCTATACATGAAGCTAGTCCATAGTCCTATACATGAAACTAATCCATGGTCCTATACATGAAGCTAGTCCATAGTCCTATACATGAAGCTAGTCCATAGTCCTATACATGAAACTAGTCCATGGTCCTATACATGAAGCTAGTCCATGGTCCTATACATGAAACTAATCCATGGTCCTATACATGAAGCTAATCCATAGTCCTATACATGAAGCTAGTCTATGGCCCTATACATGAAGCTAGTCCATAGTCCTATACATGAAGCTAGTGTATGGTCCTTTACATGAAGCTAGTCCATAGTCCTATACATGAAGCTAGTCCATAGTCCTATACATGAAGCTAGTCCATGGTCTTATACATGAAGCTAGTCCATAGTCCTATACATGAAGCTAGTCCATGGTCTTATACATGAAGCTAGTCTAAGACTCCCAATTCAAGAACTACACATACTTGTTGTGGTGACAGATGCTGATGGCATAGTTCCCCAGTGGACTGATGCTCTCTCGCAAAAGATAGAGGCCTTCATTGCAGCCTCGCTCTTTTAAAATGACTTCTGCTTCGTCTCGCGTTATACGTCCATAAAAGAATCTGGCTGATGAAGCTTTTTCTGGAAGTGCCAAACTAGCCATAATGCATTGTTCAGTTCCTTTTCACTTCACAAGAAGACAGAGCACAAACCTGGAATTAATGCACAAAATTAATTACAAAAACAATTGTATATTTCTGCTCCTGCAAAAGAGTGTGAAACCTTAAAATCTATAATTCCAAATATAAACATGATATGCAGGAAAAGATTCAGACCGAGATGGCCTATTCATGAAGCTGTCTTAGCCAAAAAGATTGGCATAAAGGTGTCATAGTGAAAGAAAATCTAAGTTAAGTCTATTCTCGAGGCTGTCTTAGCGCAAAGTTATCTACAGTTAAGGACAAAAATTAAGCCAGGTTCGGAGCCTACGACAGAAAAATGGTGGCCAAAAACCGCTATGTTCAAGTAAACAATTGGAGAGTGTGTGTCTACTGTATCCTTTCTAACCACAAAACTGCATGAGTGGTTTTCACTTGCACTTTCAAAACACAAACAACACATCGTAGCAAACACCACTGAAACATCATATTTACTGATTATGACAAGCCTAACAATGAGTCGATAACAGATGATACTTTAACATTCATTCCCTATAAAAAGTTGCTTGAAACAACATACTTTTTCAAATATTTTAGTTGAAACACAAGCACCGTGATTAACTGCTCTTGCAATAACTGTGATTTTTTATTATCAAGGGTGGTATTTATATAGAGAGTGTTTTTTCTTTGACTGCGAGTACAACGTATGAAATATATAGCACCTAATGGAGTGAGCACCGTATTGATTATGGATAGCTAGATGGCATGCTGTTTGAAAATTATTTTTGTCCATGAATGAATATTCCACTATGTATGATAAAAGAAAACGATTCAAGTTTAGATTCTTTAGAGTTGAGTAAAAACATATTAAAGATATACTGTAAATCTTGAAGTTAACGTGAGCGTGAATTAAAATATGAAAAATGTGAGTGGTCTTTGTTCGCATTAATGAAACTTCACATTTATGTCTCCAAAATGATTATCAACAATAAGACGGCCTCATTGCCCACTTTTGGTAGAGGAAATACCAACTATAACATAAACACCAACACATTTGTTTGAGCAGCAGTTGTTACAAGCATATAACAATGTCATTCAAAGAATAGGAATTACATAATGAGCTTCTGGTGAGTTATCACAGTCGCAAAAGCCGACTGACTGGGGATTTTACGTGCACTTTCCGACTGCAAGCATATGTCGCACACAGGCCGACCAGGCCATTTAATGTATTTGGAATGAATGGCGTGGGGGGGGGGGGGGGGGGAGAGAGAGACTGAGGGAGGTGTGAGTGTTGAGCGAGATGTTTGGTTTGTTTATTTTTTTTTTTTTTTGTTACTTAATTTGTTTTGTTTTGATTATTTGTGGGTTATATTCGGTTAATAAGATCTGTTTTAATTAGGTATTTGCCTTTAAGACACACAACACTTCGCAAAAGCCGACTGACTGACTGAGGTTGGGGATTTTACATGCGCTTTCCAACTGCAAGCAGGCCAGGCCAATTATTGTATTTGGAATGAATGGCAAGGGGGGAAGAGACTGAGGGAGGTGTGAGTGTTGAGCGAGTTGTTTGGTTTGTTTATTTATTATTATTGTTTTTTTTAATTAGTTTTGTTTATTATTTGAGGGTTATATTCGGTTAATAAGATCTGTTTTAATTAGGTATTTGCCTAGAGCTTTAAAGTTGATTTTTTTCTAGAGTTAACTCAGAGTTTAAGTTTAGTGTGTTTTGGAGTGTTGTTCTGTGTGTCTTCTGTTTGCCTGCTTTAGTTAGTTCACTGAGGGAGTCTGTGAGGATGAGGATGTTTTGGTGGGTTTTTATTTGTGGGTTTCGAAGGGCTGTGGCCATGTCCATGAGTTCGGTCTTAAAGATTGATTGATTATTGGGGAGTCGGTAAGATTTTGTTTGTTTTAGAGGTTGAGAGATGTGGATGCCAAAGCCGGTGTGCTGTCAACGCGCATGTTGACGGGGAATTAGATCTTGGGGGAATAAAGGACAAAATCGATATCACTGTACCGGAATGCTATATGCACAACATGTAAACAATAAAAACAATTGCACAATGAGCTGAATACCTGCTCTGACAACACAAACACAGCGATGAGCGGACCTTCCGGCTCAGGCATGCATATGGTGAGCGGAGTTCCAGCTCAACCTCAGGACGTTTCCTACGAGCGGCACATCCTGCTCGAGATCGTCCTTACACCAACGCTCGGAATACCAAGCTTGCCTAACACCATGTAATGGTAACACATATATAGTAACGAACAACAATGGACAGACAAAGAGACAATGACGTTGCTTTGGACATTTTCCCATATGGGCTTGATGAACAGACACAGTTCAGGGATGATCAATTAAGGCAATAAATGCCATACTATAAAGCAAAAGCAGTAGTTAACAAGAAGTGATATGGTAGTCCAGGCTGACTGACAGTCAATATACAATGAAATGTTGGTGAAGATTAACAACTGGGATTAGCGCCTAATACTTAGTGACAATTAAGTTATGGAGACATGCACATGTCATGGCTACAGGGTAATTAGCCTTTGGAATGTTCTTCAGACAATGGTTGTCGCAAATCAGTTGCTATGACAACTTCCCTCCGTTCCGTGAAGCTCGGAGCACAAGCTTAATCAAGTACAAATTGATATGTGTGAACTTTTTCACAGACAGAAACAACAGTGCAAAATGTGAACAAAATCAGTTAGATGAGTTAAGGATGTCGTTGAAATACTTGTGCATGTATACCTATCCAATGACGGTATGAAAATGATCATATAGCCAGTTTCATTAAGTGCCAGTTTGAAAACTAACCAAGTATTGAACACAGGAATGATATCCCAAATATAACATTTGTTACTTTAACCAAGTATTCTTTGTAATGTGCAATTTCCCTACGAGGAAAATACAACTTTGCACAGATTCAATAAATATATCATTGAAGGGTCTTTGAATTCAGGAGTCTGGCTTGGTGGTGCAACTCAGTACCGAATAATGATAATGATAATGAGTCATGTCATAAAAAGTACGAATTAAACATCTCAGCAAATATTTCGCAAAAAGAAATTTGAAACCAGGAGTCTAACTTTACCGCGCGACTCAAACGGTACTTGTGGGTATGTTTACCCTTTTAAGTACAATGGTTGCTCTTCCCGTGTCTTTAACGGAGCTTGCCCAGATATTGTGGGTGCTATGCCCAAGAAAAATAAAAATCCTTAATTCCAACATCAAAACTCTGAAATGCTGAATACTGCTGTGCTGTTAATTACTTAATACTGACATACAATATACATATGTGTGGGGGTGGCTTACCCAAGAATATCCCTCATCTGAATTCAAAGTCCTAAACAATACATTCATTTTTGTACCAAACTGTGCACATTAATAACTTCTAACAAATGACAAATTTTGTTGTTTAGATTTTTGAAATTACGAGTCTAACTTTAAGGTGTGACTCGATAACCCTACAGCTTAGGTTTGTCTGGGCCCTAGCTGTATCTATATGACTGGCATGGCCTGGAGACATTTCAAAAATTCCCTACACAATAACTTCAAAGATCTAGCGTGATTAAAGATGTAAAATTGGAGAATATTGCACATATACAAAACTGAACTTTGGAAAGACACATTTTGGCATTAATATACTGGCTTTGATCAAACATACTTGGTTGCACTATTCAACAGTCACACAATATATGTCCTGGATTGAGTCCCTTAAGTAAACACAAATTAGTAAGTCCCAATGAGATATCTTGTACACAGTGTCCATCTTGTAGGTGCCCGTGAGGTGGCTTCTGTATTGTGCAGGGTCTGCATGATGATGGCTGTGGGATTAACAAAATCTTGAATGGAAAATTTCATCAGGAAAGTTGGCATCAGAGAGATTCTTGTTGTTTTCTTCAATCTTGTTTCTTTGCTCTTCATGGCTTGAGTTGATGATTGTTCTTCAGGATGGCAGGCATATAGAGAGGTTACTGGATCGGGAGTAAACGCAAGAGTTACTCCAGCTGGATTCTAACACCAGTTGTCAACGTGCATGTTGACGGGCAATTAGCTCTTAGGGGAATATAGGACAAAATTGACATCACTGTCAACAATAGATGTACATGACAATAACATGAGACAACAGCATTAATCATAAGGGCTGTTTATTGTTTATTTTTAAAACTCAAATAAAATAAAACAAATAATAATGATAAAATTCCAATAAAGGGAATATCCTGATAAATTGATGATGTTATCATGATGTAACATTACACAAACGCTCGGAATACCAAGCTTTACTAACACCATGTAATGGTAACACATATATAGTAATGAACAACATTTATACTAAGTTTTCATAAATAATTAGATCCACAGCAAGGGCTTTTATAAGTTATCATTGTGTAACATTTATACAACATTTCATATAATTATAGTTAGCACGTAATACATTAATCAAGGTAAAACGCAGATACAAAATATCAGTAGTTTCAGTTATAGCTTTTTAGATAGATGCTAGCCTAAGGTTTTGAGAACACATCTCCCAGACATACTCTTCAGGAAGACAAAAGTTATGAATGCATAGTTTAAAAGATTTCAGTAAAATCTAAATATTTTTAACATTTGTATTCTTATCCTGCATTACTCAGTATTGCATTTACTGCTGTCTTTGACAGAGAGACAAATTGTGTGAGATCCAGCTGCTGAAGAAAGTTGTTTCCATCTGTCCAGGAAGCAGCGCCCCCTCCCACACAGTCGGCACGTGACCCGGAAGTCATGACGTCATGTCAAAACACATAACTGCTTTAACATAACATCGGAAAGTTCGTGGGGAGGCAGCGGAGCGCAGGGGGGTCACTTAGACTTCGTAATGCAGGATAAGTATACAAATGTAAAAAATATTTAGATTTTACTTATATTTTTAACTTATCCTGCATAACTCCGTATTGCATCTTTATCAGACAGCACGGCCCGTGGGCATACCTTCAGATGTGAGCCATAAGAAACCCTCGACAAGGTCCGATGAAACCGCACCGCATATACAAGAGATGACCGGAACACCAGCGAC